TCGCGCGTCGGACGCGGGGGCGTCTGTTGCGCGTATCAAATTGGAGGCCGAGGAGGAGGGCGCGCCATGTGTTCTGGTGCGCCTTACCTGAGAAGGAGATGGGGGAGGAGTGGTCCTCTCCCGAGGAGGGGCCGCCATGGGGTGGCCAGCGCAGGTGGGGCCGCGGAAGTGTGCGAAAGCGTTCCCGTGGCCCTGCCAATATGCGACGAGGGTGGAACACCATGGGGTTTTAGTCGGTGCGAGTCCGACATAACCCGTCCCTGCCCCCGCGAGGCGGGTATGCGTAGGCATTTCCCCATGTAAAAAAAAAAAAAAAAAGAAAAGGTTAGGTTAGGTTAGGTTAGGTTAGGTTAGGTTCCCCCCCGAACGGGTTCCCGCCTTGTCGTGGCGGGGGGGCTTAGTAGCCGTGGCTTGGTCACCCACGGTGAACAAAGAGGAACCCCTTGGCTGGCCCGTGGTGTAGGGCCGGCCCGAGGTGGCCACTCCGAGTGGGCTTGACGAGCCCACTTCGGATGTGTGTCGGGGGGCTGCGGTGAGAGGGGAGTCCGCACCCTCTACCGCTGCAGCCGAGGTGGAGTCGCGGAGGAAGAGGAGTGTTGGTATGGCGATGCGCCACTCGCCCTATCCTCCGCGACTCTGACGGGGCCGCACCGTTAATGATGCGGTGGTGGTGGGGCTGCGGGGGGAGAGGAGTGTCGGTATTGCGAGGCGCCGCTCTCCCTACCCTCCGCAGCCGAATCTTGGTTGGCGGCGGAGCCATAGACCAGATCCGCCGCTGGGGCCGGGAAGGCCGGTGCTTCTAAGCGCTAGTTTTTCCTGGCCCCATGGCCTTCGCGCATCGGACTCGGGGCGTCCGTTGCGCATGTTAAGTTGGAGGCCGAGGAGGAGGGCGCGCCATGTGTTCTGGTGCGCCTTACTTGAGAAGGAGATGGGGGAGGAGTAGTCCTCTCCCGAGGAGGGGCCGCCATGGGGCGGCCAGCGCAGGTGGGGCCGCGGAAGTGTGCGAAAGCGTTCCCGTGGCCCTGCCAATATGCGACGAGGGTGGAACACCATGGGGTTTTAGTCGGTGCGAGTCCGACATAACCCGTCCTTGCCCCCGCGAGGCGGGTATGCGTAGGCATTTCCCCATGTAAAAAAAAAAAAAAAAAAAAAGGTTAGGTTAGGTTAGGTTAGGTTAGGCTTTTTTTTTTTTTTATTCAAGGTGAAGGTCTCAACGTATAATGCAATATGCATTATACAGAGTGAATTAATTTTTTTATAATTTCATTTTGTGCTGTCTATGTTTTGTTTTCATTATTGATGTAGTTTTTTTTTTTTAATCTTTATTAAATATTTTAAGTGACTTTACGATTTTTTCTATGTGTCTTGTAAAACTTTCTATGCATGATTCCTTTTGTATGACTTCATGTAATTTGTATGGACTTATATTTAAATTGTTGCAGTTGATCTCATGATCAATTCGGGTTTGACTAAATTTTGGACATTCTTTTATTAAATGATCAACCGTTTGTTGTGTATTACTATCACAAGGGCATTTGTCATTTGCTGTTATTTTAAAGCGATGTAGGTATTTTTTGTCGAAGCCATGATTGGATAAAACTTGTGTTACATAGAAAGACAATTTGAATTTTTCTAATACACTTGTGAGTATTTCATACGTGGGACACCATGTTTTAAGATGTGTGCAATTGTTTGGATTATTATAATATACTTCAGCTACTGTGTTGAGATCAATTTTTTGTTTTTGTTTCACGTAAGAAATTGGAAAATTACGATAATCTGGTGTTTTGTTCAGATTTGACGCTGATTTTGCTGCTGTATCTGCAAGCTCATTGCCAAGAACTCCATTGTGCGCCTTTATCCAAACAAACTTAATAGTTTTATTTTGTGTTTGAGCTTTGATTATATTATGATGAATTTCTACGGTTAATGGGTTTGTACTCTCCGCGTTTTGAATTTCTTGTAAACTTGATTTGCTGTCGGATAAAATAATGAATTGATGTAGTTTACTAGTGAGTATCCAATGTATTGCTTTTTGAATAGCATATATTTCAGCTTGAAAAATAGAACATGTATTATGTAATTTGTATTTCCTTGTTAAATTTTGACCTTCATTGGTGAGCACAACAAAAGCTGCCCCTACTCCTTTTTCGTTTTTACTTCCGTCTGTGAAGATGCAGGATGCAGAAGATTCTCGATGTTGTTCTATTTCTTGTTCACATGTTGCCTCAGTAAATTCTATTGTTTTCCGTTTTGAAGGATGAAGTAGCTCCATAGGTTTTGAAGGTGATTCAAGCTTTATATCTGTAGGTAAGTATTTTGATGTCCTTTGTTGTTTTGTTTTTTCTAGATCTGCTACTGTATTAATTTTGTCTGGAAGAGGGTGCAGTTGTGCTAAGCTGATTGCGGTTGCAGTACTGATTGTACGGAATCCCCTTATAATTTTTATGGCTATTGTTCGTTGTAAGGAAAGAAGGCGTTTATTGACATATTTATATTTGAGTGCTGGATTCCACACACTTGCAGCATAACACAATATAGGTTCTATTACAGCCGAGTAGATGGTGCGAACGTTTTCTGCATTGATTCCCCAGGTGGGTTTTATATATTTCACCAGTTTATGAAGTAAACTTAGCGATTTACTTATTATATATTCTGCATGCTTTATAAAATTTAATTTCTGATCGATAACAACTCCTAAGTATTTGATCTGTCGAGAACAACTTATGAATTGGTTTCCCATTGTTATTTTACACTTTGTAGCTTTATTTGTGAACGAAATCATTTGTGTTTTATTCGGGTTGAATTTAAGTTTAATTGATCTACCCCACTCCAATATCTGATCAATTGCGGTTTGAGTTGTACTTTCCAGAGTAGGAAAGTTTTTAGAGTATGTGATTAGAAAGAGGTCATCCGCAAATGCCTGCAGATGACATCCTTCGGGTAGCGTTGACGTTAAAAGCTCATCGAGGATTAAGTTCCAAAACATGGGACCACACACTGATCCTTGTATACACCCTCGATGCATGGGTTTAGTAGCCGAGCTGTCAGCGAAGTCAAGTTTTACTTCGCGATCTCTTGTATAATGTTGAAGCAACATAAATATGTTTTTAGGACATCGAATTGAATTTAATCTTTGGTAAAGTGCGGGCCACCATGCGTTATTAAAAGCTGCCTGTATATCTAAGGAAACAGCTAACACTTGCATCTTATTGCTCTTTGCATCTCTAATTACATCTAGTGCTTTTTTAATTGCACACGTAGTCGAAGTTTGCTCCTTAAAGCCATATTGGGTCTCACTCATCGCATTGGTTTTGTGCAGATGATAAGTTAGTCTTTTAGTAATGAGTTTCTCTAAAGTTTTCCCAAAAACATTTATAAGTCCTATAGGTCTGTAAGAAGAAGTGTTAAATTCGGTTTTATGAGGTTTTGGAATGATTTTTATATATGCAATTTTCCAGATTTTTGGGAAATAACTGAGTTCAAGGCACCTATTCATTATAGCAGTAATTACTGAGGGATATAATTTGGCAAAATTAAAACATATATCTGCAGTTAAATGATCAAGTCCTGGTGATTTTTTGGAGTTCATCGTTTTAAGGGCGTTTAAGACTTCTTCGGTAGTAAATGGAGGGTCTGACGGTGTGTCAGGTACTTTTTTAGAGAGACTGCGAATTTTTATGTGTCTAGAGTTTATATCGGGTTCGTCTTCAGGGAAATACTCGTTCAATAATGTCTCTGCAGTATCTTTAGTGGTTGAGGTGTAGCTGCCTGCTTTCGTTTTAAGTGTCGTTGGTGGTTGAATTAAGGGTGTAGTTTTAAGCAGCCTATTAGTGACGCTCCAGACATCTTCTTTCCCTTGCTTGTTGCAAAACTCTCGGAAATGATTAGTTGATGCCGTTCTAATTGCTTGCGCATATTCTGTCTTAAGTTTTGTCTTTTCTTCTATCACTTCATTTAGTGGTTTTTTACGTCGTTTTAACTGCTGGATCCTATGATGATTTTTAATTACTTTCTGTTTAATCTGCTCTAGGTCGTCATTCCACCATATTGCCCGAGTACCCACTCTTTTTTGTGGAAACAGATTATCACATGATTTTTGGATGGCTGATGTTAGTTTGCTTATGAATTGTTCCAGTTCAATACTATTGAATTGTTCTCTATTTACATTTAAATCTATATTTTTGCCGATTTTCTCTCTAAACTTTTCGCCGACTTGTTCCCATTTTACATTTTTAGTATTATATTTGAAAGTGGATAGTTTTTGAGGTTTGGGTATGCTGTTTCTATTAACTAATAATTCAAATATTATTGCATTATGACCGGAGGATGGGCAGACTTCTAATTCAACTTTCCAGTTAGTGATTCTATTCGATGACAGATTGGAGGTTAGAGTAAGGTCGATAATGGATTCGCGGTGGATATTATGAGTAACAGTTTCAAAAGTTGGTACATTGCCAGAATTACAAAGGTTAAGATCATTAGTAGTTAAAAAGTCTGCTATGGTATTTCCTCGCCGATTAGCCCTGGGAGAGTTCCATAACGGGTGCCAGCCATTGAAATCACCACAGATGATATGACTGTAATTTTTTGTTTTTTGCAGAAATAGCTCTAATGTATTAATTGTGTTAATTTCGTCAGTCTTAGGTTCAACATATACACTGATAAGGAATATTTTTTTGTCGTTTATAGTCATTTGTACTACACAAAGGTTAGAAGTGGAGTGTTCTGAGATGCCCAATGAACAGCCAATATTTTGTTTGATGAGTATACATGCTTTGACGTGATGTTTAGTTGAAAATTGGTGAATATGATAGCCGGGGCAATGTCTCATGTTGGTGCCACTTCCAACATAAGGCTCGTTAATAAACACTATGTCGTACTCATTATCCGTTACATACTTTAACATTTCATTAGTTGCTGCGTATCCTCTATCTAAATTTATTTGTAGACATTTAAGCGGGCTGCAATTGTATGTTGCAGTTTTCCTATTTTTTCTTTTAGTATCCATAGTCGGTTTTATTTTTGCAGGTTTCAATCTGTTTAAGGACACGAGGGCAGTATAGTGACGTAGCGCTATGATTGGTATTTAAATTTAAGTTGTATTTTTTAGCGTGTAATGTACAGTTGTAGCAGTTTATTTTATTTAGATCTTTTTTTACCGGGCAGTCTTTGTATGTGTGTGAATTGGAGGAGCAGTGGGAACAGTTTGTTTCCTCTTCAGTGCAGTGCTTTTTGGTGTGTCCAAATTGCATGCATTTATAACACTGAAGAAATGCCGAAAAATCTTCTGCGTGTACACGTTGGTGGTCTATATTAACTTTTTGTATTTCTATGATTACTCTCCAGATATGGGGAGCAACCATAAATACAGCGTTATAGAGTTTCTGGTTTTTGTTGTTGCGCATAAACTTATATGTTATGTCTTCGGGTGATGTAATAATATCTTTGATTTTAGTGTTTTGATTGATGATAATATCAACAAGCTCAGTTACGGGTGTATCTTTGAAAATGCCCTTAAGTATGACCATAGGCTTGAGTTTTTTCGCTATTTCCGCGCAAACCAGGCTGTCTGGCCGATTTATTGTTTCTAAAATCTCGTCTCTTTGCTCCTGTTTGTCGAATTCTACTCGAAGTTTATGGTTAGAGACTGCTTTTACCTCAGCGGGAGTGAATGTAAGCTTTTTGAAATGAACGCTTTTTCTCCACGCGTGGACAGTCTCCTGTGATGAAGACACTGGTTGTTTAGAGGTTACTATTAAAGCTGGTTTTGTTATCGGAATAGAGGGTTTCTCAGTTGCCTTTATAGTCTTAACAACAGTGGCGTAACTTTGAATTGGCGCCGGGGTGATATCTGGACGAAGTGGTTCTAGCAGTGGTGGAGCAGCGAATTGCTGAGGTTTTAACGCAATCTTTTCGAACTCTTCCATGATCGTATTTCTGATTATAGAAGCGGTTTTCTTTTCAGTCGATAACGTTGAATGTCGCAAAATATTTTTAACTTGGTTATGTAACTGCTGTGTGCTGCGCTTAATTTCTTCCAGAGACTTTTTAATACTTTCCTTGTTTAAGCGTGTGACACTTCTACTACTGTCTAGAGTTTTTTGTATTAAATCAGTGTGTTCAATAACTTTTAAAAGGTATTCGTCATTAAAGTTAGAACTGGATTCAGATTGAGCTTCCTCGAATACCTCGTCAGTAATATTTGCTAGATCTTCAGTTAATACAACCTCTTGACTTAGATTTTGACTAGTAACGGCTTCAGTACACGAATTGCTGAGAACTGACATTTGTGATATATGAATCCACATAAGTAATGAAAACCGGGAGGGCGATTTTCTTTAATTCCGTGTGTTATTATTTACAGATTAGAGTGCAGATGGCAGTTTCTACACAAGACGGACCTAATAAGTGCAAAAAGAGCGAAAGAAATGAAGATTTGTAAAATTTTTAAAATTTTATGAAAATACGACTCTAAGAACACGAATTTTATGAAAATTTGTTATGAAACTGTGAAAATTTACTAAAAAAACTATAGAAAACTACGGAGGGTAATTAGATACACTATTTAAAAAGAAAATTTGAACGTAAAAGAGCAACTTTCAGTAAAGTTATAGATTAATTTATGTTTTATTTATGAATTTAATACTATAAAAGAAGGAAAAATGTGAAAATTTATTATATAACGGTGAAAAATAACTAAGAAAACTAAAGGGAAATATGGGGGGGCAGTTAATTACACTATTTAAAGAAAATTTCAACGAAAAAGACCAATATTTAGCAAAGTTATTAGAAAAGTTGTAATTAAATTTATATATTTTTAACGATCGACCACTATACCTCGGTTTAGGTAAGTAGCGATTTTCTTTAATTCCGTGTGTTATTATTTACAGATTAGAGTGCAGATGGCAGTTTCTACACAAGACGGACCTAATAAGTGCAAAAAGAGCGAAAGAAATGAAGATTTGTAAAATTTTTAAAATTTTATGAAAATACGACTCTAAGAACACGAATTTTATGAAAATTTGTTATGAAACTGTGAAAATTTACTAAAAAAACTATAGAAAACTACGGAGGGTAATTAGATACACTATTTAAAAAGAAAATTTGAACGTAAAAGAGCAACTTTCAGTAAAGTTATAGATTAATTTATGTTTTATTTATGCATTTAATACTATAAAAGAAGGAAAAATGTGAAAATTTATTATATAACGGTGAAAAATAACTAAGAAAACTAAAGGGAAATATGGGGGGGCAGTTAATTACACTATTTAAAGAAAATTTCAACGAAAAAGACCAATATTTAGCAAAGTTATTAGAAAAGTTGTAATTAAATTTATATATTTTTAACGATCGACCACTATACCTCGGTTTAGGTAAGTAGCGATTTTCTTTAATTCCGTGTGTTATTATTTACAGATTAGAGTGCAGATGGCAGTTTCTACACAAGACGGACCTAATAAGTGCAAAAAGAGCGAAAGAAATGAAGATTTGTAAAATTTTTAAAATTTTATGAAAATACGACTCTAAGAACACGAATTTTATGAAAATTTGTTATGAAACTGTGAAAATTTACTAAAAAAACTATAGAAAACTACGGAGGGTAATTAGATACACTATTTAAAAAGAAAATTTGAACGTAAAAGAGCAACTTTCAGTAAAGTTATAGATTAATTTATGTTTTATTTATGAATTTAATACTATAAAAGAAGGAAAAATGTGAAAATTTATTATATAACGGTGAAAAATAACTAAGAAAACTAAAGGGAAATATGGGGGGCAGTTAATTACACTATTTAAAGAAAATTTCAACGAAAAAGACCAATATTTAGCAAAGTTATTAGAAAAGTTGTAATTAAATTTATATATTTTTAACGATCGACCACTATACCTCGGTTTAGGTAAGTAGCGATTTTCTTTAATTCCGTGTGTTATTATTTACAGATTAGAGTGCAGATGGCAGTTTCTATACAAGACGGACCTAATAAGTGCAAAAAGAGCGAAAGAAATGAAGATTTGTAAAATTTTTAAAATTTTATGAAAATACGACTCTAAGAACACGAATTTTATGAAAATTTGTTATGAAACTGTGAAAATTTACTAAAAAAAACTATAGAAAACTACGGAGGGTAATTAGATACACTATTTAAAAAGAAAATTTGAACGTAAAAGAGCAACTTTCAGTAAAGTTATAGATTAATTTATGTTTTATTTATGAATTTAATACTATAAAAGAAGGAAAAATGTGAAAATTTATTATATAACGGTGAAAAATAACTAAGAAAACTAAAGGGAAATATGGGGGGCAGTTAATTACACTATTTAAAGAAAATTTCAACGAAAAAGACCAATATTTAGCAAAGTTATTAGAAAAGTTGTAATTAAATTTATATATTTTTAACGATCGACCACTATACCTCGGTTTAGGTAAGTAGCGATTTTCTTTAATTCCGTGTGTTATTATTTACAGATTAGAGTGCAGATGGCAGTTTCTACACAAGACGGACCTAATAAGTGCAAAAAGAGCGAAAGAAATGAAGATTTGTAAAATTTTTAAAATTTTATGAAAATACGACTCTAAGAACACGAATTTTATGAAAATTTGTTATGAAACTGTGAAAATTTACTAAAAAAACTATAGAAAACTACGGAGGGTAATTAGATACACTATTTAAAAAGAAAATTTGAACGTAAAAGAGCAACTTTCAGTAAAGTTATAGATTAATTTATGTTTTATTTATGAATTTAATACTATAAAAGAAGGAAAAATGTGAAAATTTATTATATAACGGTGAAAAATAACTAAGAAAACTAAAGGGAAATATGGGGGGCAGTTAATTACACTATTTAAAGAAAATTTCAACGAAAAAGACCAATATTTAGCAAAGTTATTAGAAAAGTTGTAATTAAATTTATATATTTTTAACGATCGACCACTATACCTCGGTTTAGGTAAGTAGCAATTTTCTTTAATTCCGTGTGTTATTATTTACAGATTAGAGTGCAGATGGCAGTTTCTACACAAGACGGACCTAATAAGTGCAAAAAGAGCGAAAGAAATGAAGATTTGTAAAATTTTTAAAATTTTATGAAAATACGACTCTAAGAACACGAATTTTATGAAAATTTGTTATGAAACTGTGAAAATTTACTAAAAAAACTATAGAAAACTACGGAGGGTAATTAGATACACTATTTAAAAAGAAAATTTGAACGTAAAAGAGCAACTTTCAGTAAAGTTATAGATTAATTTATGTTTTATTTATGAATTTAATACTATAAAAGAAGGAAAAATGTGAAAATTTATTATATAACGGTGAAAAATAACTAAGAAAACTAAAGGGAAATATGGGGGGCAGTTAATTACACTATTTAAAGAAAATTTCAACGAAAAAGACCAATATTTAGCAAAGTTATTAGAAAAGTTGTAATTAAATTTATATATTTTTAACGATCGACCACTATACCTCGGTTTAGGTAAGTAGCGATTTTCTTTAATTCCGTGTGTTATTATTTACAGATTAGAGTGCAGATGGCAGTTTCTACACAAGACGGACCTAATAAGTGCAAAAAGAGCGAAAGAAATGAAGATTTGTAAAATTTTTAAAATTTTATGAAAATACGACTCTAAGAACACGAATTTTATGAAAATTTGTTATGAAACTGTGAAAATTTACTAAAAAAACTATAGAAAACTACGGAGGGTAATTAGATACACTATTTAAAAAGAAAATTTGAACGTAAAAGAGCAACTTTCAGTAAAGTTATAGATTAATTTATGTTTTATTTATGAATTTAATACTATAAAAGAAGGAAAAATGTTAAAATTTATTATATAACGGTGAAAAATAACTAAGAAAACTAAAGGGAAATATGGGGGGCAGTTAATTACACTATTTAAAGAAAATTTCAACGAAAAAGACCAATATTTAGCAAAGTTATTAGAAAAGTTGTAATTAAATTTATATATTTTTAACGATCGACCACTATACCTCGGTTTAGGTAAGTAGCGATTTTCTTTAATTCCGTGTGTTATTATTTACAGATTAGAGTGCAGATGGCAGTTTCTACACAAGACGGACCTAATAAGTGCAAAAAGAGCGAAAGAAATGAAGATTTGTAAAATTTTTAAAATTTTATGAAAATACGACTCTAAGAACACGAATTTTATGAAAATTTGTTATGAAACTGTGAAAATTTACTAAAAAAACTATAGAAAACTACGGAGCGTAATTAGATACACTATTTAAAAAGAAAATTTGAACGTAAAAGAGCAACTTTCAGTAAAGTTATAGATTAATTTATGTTTTATTTATGAATTTAATACTATAAAAGAAGGAAAAATGTTAAAATTTATTATATAACGGTGAAAAATAACTAAGAAAACTAAAGGGAAATATGGGGGGGCAGTTAATTACACTATTTAAAGAAAATTTCAACGAAAAAGACCAATATTTAGCAAAGTTATTAGAAAAGTTGTAATTAAATTTATATATTTTTAACGATCGACCACTATACCTCGGTTTAGGTAAGTAGCGATTTTCTTTAATTCCGTGTGTTATTATTTACAGATTAGAGTGCAGATGGCAGTTTCTACACAAGACGGACCTAATAAGTACAAAAAGAGCGAAAGAAATGAAGATTTGTAAAATTTTTAAAATTTTATGAAAATACGACTCTAAGAACACGAATTTTATGAAAATTTGTTATGAAACTGTGAAAATTTACTAAAAAAACTATAGAAAACTACGGAGGGTAATTAGATACACTATTTAAAAAGAAAATTTGAACGTAAAAGAGCAACTTTCAGTAAAGTTATAGATTAATTTATGTTTTATTTATGAATTTAATACTATAAAAGAAGGAAAAATGTGAAAATTTATTATATAACGGTGAAAAATAACTAAGAAAACTAAAGGGAAATATGGGGGGCAGTTAATTACACTATTTAAAGAAAATTTCAACGAAAAAGACCAATATTTAGCAAAGTTATTAGAAAAGTTGTAATTAAATTTATATATTTTTAACGATCGACCACTATACCTCGGTTTAGGTAAGTAGCGATTTTCTTTAATTCCGTGTGTTATTATTTACAGATTAGAGTGCAGATGGCAGTTTCTACACAAGACGGACCTAATAAGTGCAAAAAGAGCGAAAGAAATGAAGATTTGTAAAATTTTTAAAATTTTATGAAAATACGACTCTAAGAACACGAATTTTATGAAAATTTGTTATGAAACTGTGAAAATTTACTAAAAAAACTATAGAAAACTACGGAGGGTAATTAGAT